GGAGTGCAGGCTGCTGCCTGAGAGGTGGTTGGAGACGGAGTGTCTCCATGCTGCTTTGTTTTGTTCACTTATGTGCATGAGGCAAGTGGTGTTACGACCCTTCCTGGGGAGTCACGTGTTTCTCCTATTTTAACTGTAAATCCTTCTAGCTGTTATATTTATAACAAGAAACAGATATTCGGACAGAATATTTTCACGTTTATTCGAATATGATTGTGGAACACACCCAGCATCATAATAAATGAAGTAATATTTATGCCAATTTAAGCCTTTATGGGTGACCAGGACTCTGTGTTTATGAATGTGGAAGACACCCAGCATCCTGTGATGGCACTAATAACATCAAGAGATAATAAATAAGGTAATATTTAGGTCAATTTAACCCTTTACACGTGACCAGGACACTGTAATCAATTTTTGGCAAGGGAAATGATCATTTGTTGCCATTTTTGAGGTGTTTATGAATGTGAAAGACACCGGCATCCTTTGATGGCACTAATAACATCAAGAAATAATAAATAAAGTAATATTTAGGTAAATGTAACCCTTTACAGGTGACCAGGACACTGTAATCAATTTTTGGCAAGGGTAATTATCTTCTTTTCTTTTTTTTTTTTCTTTTTTTTTGCCATTTTTGGGGTGTTTTTGATGACACAGTAGGCAGTATGAGTACAGTAACATCAACAGATAATACATAAAACCCTTATTTGGTCAATTTTAGCCTCCATGAAAATCTTAGTGATTCAATCACTTTTTGGCAAGTAAAATGCCATTTTATTTGTCTACAATTAAATCATCAATAAAGAATTTAAAGATATTTTGAGGCATTTTTTATAGGTAAACGGGAGGGTGTAGTCTATTTGGCAAGTGACAATCTTAATTTTATGTGCTGAAGTGCTTTTATCTTGTTACTTTTAAATAGAGCAACGTAATGAATAGCAACCTACACAGTGTCATTGTAAAGCCAAAGCTTGATCATTTTAAATACTTTTTTTCAAGTAAAAATGTGCCCCAAACTAGTTAACTGTGGCTCCATGTCAAGTGGACTAAAGAAAGGAAGGGGAAAAAATTAAATCGCTGGAGAATTGTTTATTTCCATTTATACAACGTTTACATTCAATACAGGGTACCATTTTACATTGTTTATTTATTTTTTTAGTATCAAGGCTGTAACATAAAGAACGCCAGTTCTTACCACAAAGTTTGTGGCACAAACCATCTTTCAATCGCAAATATTGCAAAAAGGATTAATATATCCTCATTGTGAACGTTTAAGATAAATAGCAACACTTAAAACAACTTCCGAACTGGAAAAACTAATGTGGCAAGGTGCAGAAACGAGTGCCCAGGCGGGATTCGATCCCCAGACTCCCGGGTGAGAGTCATACGCTCTAACCAGTCAGCCAAAGGGACCTCTCTTTGGCCAAGTAGCCAGGGCGCATGATCAATCGGGACATTGTGGATGCTCACACTGCCACATCTTCCTCCCTCTTTCCACAAGCACGTCCTCGTGCTCCCGCGCAGGCTGCCACAAACACTGCCACACTAATATCCGCGATAAACATCTGTTTAATTACCGGAAGAGGTTATCTTTGCTTTCTGAATGTCCATATTGCTAGATATGCTGAGTTTTAGGGCGAAATCCTGGGGAATTTTGTCTAGAAATGCAATTGCCTAACCGTGCGCGATCCCGCGGTGGCTAATCATTTTTTGGCAGCGAGTCAATTTATGGCACAACACCGGCTCGGGTTTCTCCTCCTCCTCCCTCTTTTCTTCTCCAACCTGTCGCTGGGCTGAGGCTCCATCACTTCCTAAATTGATTTTACTTGAACCTTCACTACCAAACAATTGTGAGATTTTAACACATGTGCCAGCATCAGCCTGAAGGGCCAGTTTCTTTTTTAGTCGAATTTTCTCCGCTCCTCTTTTCCGTTTTTTGTTCTCCATTTTGTTAAGCTCGTCTGTCTGTTTACTGAGATTCACAAACAACTGGCGGGTGCATCAGACCTCTGGCTATTGGTCCAGCCCAGAGTGTATTATTACCAATTGGCCAATCCACCAACTTTTACGAGGCGTCGCGTGGGGCGGCGCGGACAAGTTGTCCGCAACAACTAGAGGCCAGGAAAAAAAAAAAAAAAAAAAAAACCAGACACCGGCCCATAAAAGATGAAAGGGTCGGCCCAGCGGGCAGTTGCCCGCTATGCCCTATGGTCAGTCCAGCACTGGTCTGGGGTGGTGGGTTGCTGTGCTCAGCGTTGGGCGGGGGAGCCTGCTCATCAGCACCCCAGCAGAAAGGGTCAAACTCTGGTTACCGGTGATGGTTGTACCCAATGTGCAGCAGTACCGGGACCAGAGTGAATAGGGTGTGTATGGGGAGCATGAGTGGGTGTCCGGCGTGCATTTTTGTAAGTCTTGGGTTGTATGTGCATGTGTGAGCATGAGGGAGGGAGCGTGTGACTGTGTTTGTGTATGACTGTATATGTCAGGTGGGGCCTTTGGGTCCTCCCCTCTCCTGGAACTTCTCTTGATGATATAGATCTCTGTCCCCCCTCCCCCTGCCTCACATGGTGTGGGGGCTTGTGCCTTGGTCTGCCTGAGTGTTCGTGGCAACCGGGTCTGGGGCTTTAAGATTTTGGCATCTGCCTGTTAGATCCCGGTGGCTGCCTGGTGGGGTCTGGGTCGCTGGGCTCTGCTGGGTCCCCGGCGGGGGTGGTCGCCCCTGGGTCCCGGGTCGCTGGGTCCCGGACTCGGCCGGCTAGGGGGTGGGAGGCTGCGGGCGGGCCTGTGGGCTTGCCGCTGATATCTCCAGGGACTCTGCTGGCTGCTGGTTGTGGCCCCCCGGGGCGATCCTCTGTGCCTCTCGAGGGGGGCGGGGGCCTTCCTGGTTGCAGTCTCCTTGGGGTTCCTGCGTTCTGGGGCAGCGCCTGGATCTCTGGGACTTGGAGCTCCCCCCGTCTCCTGCGCATCTTTGGGGGGCGGATCTGTGGTCCCTCACACTCTCTGTTGGGCGCTCCTATAGAAAAACCTTAAATAAACAAGCGCGTGTACACACACAGGTGCGCACATGGTGCTCTCAAAGTATGGGCTTGGGCACGTTGAACACAGGTCTTAAGACTATGGTGGGCACTTAATGCGTTGTGATTTATTATCGTGATTCTTCAGTTAAGCAATGTTGATTATATATATATTTTTTTTTCTTTTCATCAAGTTGACGCAGTGATAGGTTGATCTTGTTGTATTGTTGTTGTGTCCCTTTTTTGTGTCCCTTTGTTTGTTTTTTTTTGTCTTTTTTTCTGCAGGTCTAGAAACAGACTCTTGTTCATTATTGTTTATTTTTGTGGAACCCCCCCCCCCCCATCCCCACCTTTTATTTTCCTTTCTCTTTCACCTCTGTCTCCGTGTCTGGTCGGAATTACAAAGCATTCAACAACAATAACAATAAAGTTTTAAGTATCAGGTGTGACATTAAAAGCAAACGCTTTGATGCTCCACCTGAGAATAAATCTGTAAGGCTTGTCACCAGCATTCAGACATCAATTCTGCTTGCTTCACAGCCAGACAGGACACGGTAATAAAAAATAAAAAATAAAAAAAAAGATATTGGTCTATAATTCATTGGGCCATCTGGATCCAGAGAAGGCTTCTTAAGTGAAGGTTTGATTACGGCAAATTTAAAATCCTGTGGTACATACCCATTTACTAAGGATAGATTGATTATATCTAGAATGGGGGCAGTAACCAAAGGAAATGCATCTTTAAATAATTTGGTTGGGATTGGATCCAAAATGCAAGTTGGAGGTTTGCATGATATATGACATAGTATAGCTATAAAAAATATTGTGGAAATTAAAAAAATTTAAAAAAAAAGGTGTGAAATGGTTCCCTTAACATTTGTCTAAAAACCTCTGCCAATAACACTCTTTGGACCGAAAGCAGCTATTGGAACATCCGGCTGTCAGTCTCTCTGAATCGCCGCACTTCCCTGAGTCCTTCACTCATAATGGGCTCGACACACGGGAGGCGACATCGCCTCTCCTCCATTCATGTTCAATGAGACATGCGCAACAAAGTGATAATCGCGGGTGTCCTTCCTACCAAGCGAAACGCGAAAAACGTGCGTGTGAAATTTTGCGCTCGTGCACAGGCGACCCAGCGACGCGATCCCAGAAAGTTGAAATATTTTCAACTTTTCATCATTGTCGCTCGGACGAGGACCAATCAACGGCGGTTTCATTCACTGACCAATGAGCGGGCAGGATGCTCCGTACACCTCCGAGCAAGCATGGAGGAGAAGTTGATTATTATGTTTTTATATAGTAAAATCTGAAGTAAGATTTCCCATAACTCTAGCAGCACCTTGTGAAACATCATATCTACCACTTTATTAACTCTGAACCGCTTAAATAACCTTAATTACCTCCAACCTGACACAGCCAAGCAAAACAACGGAAGTTTCGATTTCGCCATGGAACAGAACGCGTAGACGGCTTTGCCGCTGGCCGCTGCCACGGATCGCCTCCCGTGTGTCATGTGATAAAAGCGATGGCGACAAATTTCTCTGATCGCGGTCGTTTGTTGCCTCCCGTGTGTCGAGCCCATTAGCCTCACGTATTTAGCAACAGAACACCACTGGTGTGAGAGATTCTCCACTCAATAATATCAGAGAAGGAGTAACAGCCGGCTGCTATAATTTCAACTTTGGGACAAACTACCAGAGTCCAAAAAAGAAAAACATAATTTGAAGTCAAGGACACACGTTTACACCGAGAAAAGGCGACTGGTGTTTAGCACTATCTCGTTTCCTCTGACAATGCAGGTTCTTGTATCAAGTGGGCGAGGCCTAGGAATGATAGCTACAGGAGGGGTTTAGGTTCTGTGACTGTAGTTAAAAGCTAGCTTGTTTTGCAGATTTACTGTTGCAGCTCAAGCAGTAAAGGTACAGGTCAAAATGAGCAACTTTTGTTTTTACAGTTTTCATATGAGGTCTCTGTGTTTTCCAGATGATCTTCTGGTGTTTTCTTTGCCCAGAGGAGGGCTAGCACTGGGTTTCCTGCATGTTCTGGACTCTCCTGCTTTCTGCCTGCCATGTTAGGCCAGCACCTCCTGTTGGACAGTTGCAGAACTGCACCCAAAACGTGTCTGGACACACATCAGATGGGACAACCGGCAGCAAGTTTTGGCACATATTTCTTCTATTTGGACTCTGGGTAGAAGCCAGCTTCAGCTCCTGAATGTAGATCACAAGCAAGACTCAACTTCTGTAGATTGTTATTTTTATTTTTTTTAAGTGACCGGATGCTCCGTAGGGCTTAATGAACTATGGACTCTGTTTACATTTCTCCTTGGTGGAGGAATTCCCACTTTGATTTCTTGTTAAATAAAAGTTGGAATGAATGGTCTGCTCTAGTGTAGCGTAGCTACATAAAGATCCCTTCTACCGAGGTTGCTGTGGTACAGTCCTCTGTCAGCTCATATTACAGATGCTTTCCAGTTGAATTTAGGTCGATATCTGCAGTAATAAATATTATTTATTGTAAAGAAATGTTACCTTTGTGAGTGTTTTATTAATATATATTGCCAAAAGCTGTTTAATCTCAGAATCACGCCCCTTATGAATACTTTCCTAACTTCCTCCTGCCATGTAAGACCAACACCTGCCAGAACCAGAAAAAGCCAACTAAATGTCCATGGAGGAAACTATAGTTTGGTTTAACTCTTTACTAGAAATACAAACTATTCAAACCTGTATCACATTACATGAACATGTTCAGGCAACGTAAGTTAAAAGATGTTCAACAAATGCAACAATTCATGGATTAGATACAGAATAGACAATTAAAGTCCATTAACTGATCAACTGGATAACCAGTTTGAGTTAACTTTAATTTAAAACATCCACTCAGCCTTTAAGGAAAATATTGAACTCCGTGTGCTGTAAAGGGCTGCATGGTGCATGTGTGTAGCCTGGCCTGCCAAACTCGTCCTGTTTAATTCTGCACAAAGAAAGTGTCTGGGAACGGTCCAAATTCAAATGACCCCACCCTGAGAATTCTAACCGAGCCAATCAGCGCTGAGTAGCGTACGTCACACACCACAACACCGAGTTTGTCGAATATGGCGACTGAAGCGAAGTTCGCTGCGACTCTTTCCTCTGTTCTAAATGACTTGAATGTCTTTAAAACAACATGTAGGAGTGCTAAAAGCATTTCTTCTAAAAGATTAAAAGATGTTTGCACCATTGCGAGGCGCCTTTTTTTTTTACTACAGCTAAAAAACTACAGCGTTGTGCTGTACAGTCGGCATTTCCGTCTTTTGTGCTGCCTAGTCCCGCCCCTCAAGTGCCTCTCTGCCTGTGAGTTACCAGACTCTTTCTCTGTGCAGAATTAAACGGGATGAGTCTGGCAGGCTAAGCTAGTGTGTGTGTGTTAGCACTGTTGTTTTTCAGCAAAGTTGCAGGTTCAAATTCCGACTGCAGCTTCTCTGTGAGGAGGTAGCATGTTCTCCCCGTGCACATGTGGGTTTTCTCCCAGTGCTCCGGCTTTTTGCCACAGGCCTAAGACATGCTTATCAGGCTAATTGGTGACTCAGTTGTTTGTAGGTGTGAGTGTGTGATTATTTTATTCTGAGTTTTATTCTGCGTGAGCCTGTGAAGGACTTTATCCACGTCTCCCCTAGTGACTGCTGGATGGACACGAGCTCCCTGGAGGAATCCTTCTGAGGAAAAAACACTCCAAAGAATGAATGAATTCAGTACAGTGAAGGAAACAAACCCTAAAACTCGATCTCTCATCACTAAGGAGGTTTGGTTCTACTGCTCAGAATAATTTGAATGAAGCCACATTGAAGGGCTTTCCAGCTTGTTTAAGGTCAAAGGGCAAATGTTCTCCTTCAAGGCTTTTGCAGAGCAGAATTCATGACTGCATCAATCACACCAGGTGGTCCTGAAGCAGCCCCAGACCATCACACCACCCCTGCCAATTGAGGTAATTTTTGCTATTTGTTATTGCTGAATCTTTTACCTTAACCAAGTGAAGCCCACCAGGCTGTTGTTCTGATTTGTTTTACATGATGTGCTCCTTTTTGAGATATTTAACCTACTTTGTGCCATCAGGCTGGTTTTAATGAAGTCATTTCTTAATTCTATGTATCTGGTGAACTCAGTTTTATAAAAGAAAATAGTTGTTCACTGTTAATTAATGAATTAGAAAGAGGGGCAATCACTTTTCTAGATAAGGGCCAGTTTGGTTTGGATGGCTTTATGTCCTTAGTAAATAATTAGAAAACAGGATTATTTTTTATTTTGCACTCAGGTGTTTTTGTCTGATACTTAAATGTATTTATTGGTCTGAATAAATAAGTGACAAAAAAGCAGAACCAGAATTAATCAATAAAGGGGCAAAAACTCGTTAGAGCACTCTAGACAGAACTTCTTAAATTTGCTATAATGTCCTATCCTGGGTGTCACCATCACTGTTGGGATGAACACCAGCCTCTCACAGCATAAATTACAGAAACACATTTTAAATATATTTTCTTGTTAAATCTTAAATCATCCTCATTCCCAACCGGAGATGACCATCCGCCATCTTCCTACTGACGACTGTTGTCTCTGACTTGGAGGTGCTGATCATCTGAATGTTTATGATTGAAAAATATGTTTTCATAGTCATTTGAAACTTCACAATGTTTCATTTCTTTTTTTTTTTTCCTCAAATAATCTTGAAATCGAAAATGATTTGAGGCAGTAGTTAGCGTCTTGTAGCAAGATGGTCCTGGGTTCAAATCCCAACCTGAGGTCTCTCTGCATGGAGTTTGCATGTTCTCCCTGTGCATGCGTGGGTTCTCTTTGGGTACTCCGGCTTCCCCCCACAGTCCAAAAACATGACTGACAGGTTGATTGGTTCTCTAAACATTTTTTGGTGTTTGTGTGTGTGTGTGTGTGTGTGTGTGTGTGTGTGTGTGTGTGTGTGTGTGTGTGTGTGTGTGTGTGTGTGTGTGTGTGTGTGTGTGTGTGTGTGTGTGTGTGTGTGTGTGTGTGTTTGTCCCATGTCTCTGTGTTGACCTGCATTGGACTGGCAAACTGTCCAGAGTGTACCTTGCCGGTTTGCCCAGAGATTGCTGGAGATAGTCAGCAGCCTCCCACGACCCTGCATGGACAAGCGGGTATGGACGGTGGATGAACTTTATTTTAATCCAGCTGAAAAAATACAATCAAATCTGAAGGTGGGGAGGTATGTATTCTTGCTGACATGTCTGGATGTGTAATGTCTGCTTGGACCAGCAGATGGAGTCAGAGCCTGGTATCAAGTGAGCATCAGTCTCAGAGGAAGGTTGGTGCTGATGTCGACTCTTCCTCTGGCTTCTACCGTTGCATTTCTATGTTTTGAAATTGTTAAAAACTTTAAACAAGCTTCTAGAGTACAATAATATTTACTTAATGAGTCAAAGAAGCTAAATGATCACATTCTGACTGTAAATTTCATCAGGGACGTCCAAAATACTGCCAAGAGGTCGCTTGTCCTCTGGGGGGTTTCGTGAGGCCCTACAGCTTGCTTTCCCCTACAGTGAAGCGTTGATAAAGTTTTTTATTTTTGTTTTTTTTTTCCAAAAAGAAAAGGTGAAGGATAACACAACGTGTCTGGTTTTAAATCACCACTTGGAACAAATATGTGAGCACACATTTAAAAGGTGACCCATATCCTGTTGATGTAACTGATGATGCGGGTGTAGGCAAGGTGCTAGTTAAGAAGATGCTCTCTGAAGAGCAGAGTCTTCAGGAGTTTCTTGAAAATTGAAAAGGAAGCCGCAGTTCTGGTAGTGCTAGGAAGGTCATTCCACATTTGTGGAACGATGCATGAGAAGAGTCTGGATTGTCCTGAGCGTGGTGTTGGCACTGCTAGCCGACGATCCTATGATGACCGGAGCGGCCGGGCCGAGACGTAAGCCTTTGCAAGAGGATTCAGGTAAATGGGAGCCGTACTATCTCAGACTTTGTATGCTAGTGTTAGCAATTTGAATTTGATGCGTGCTGCTAGCGGTAGCCAGTGGAGCTGGCTAAATAAATTTATCTTCGAGTCTAAAAACCTAAAAACAGCATCAATCCATGGAATCTAATATGTTCATTTTAATAAAAATAAAACCATTTCAGTGTTTAATATCTGCTGAAATCTTCAGATTCATTTTTCACAAAAAATGAGATATTTCCTTTTAATTCAGATATGGTGTTTCCCCTGTTATTGCACAGGTAAAAATAAAAAAATAAGATCACATGTTTGTGGCCTGGCCATCACTAACTTCATTACTTTGGCTTTCCACAACAGGCACGTGCAGAGGGGGGTGCGGAGGGTGCTTGAGACCCTGCCCCTTTTGTCCGAAGTGCCCAAAGTGCCCTTTTTCCGGTCGTTCGTCAGATTTTACTGTACAAAACTGTTATACTGTGATACAAATTGGGCACTAGGACCATGTGGAGGCAGCCGCCTCAAGCTGAAGGCTATTTTCCCTTAGACCCGCCTATAAGCTCACTGATTGGCTCTGCCGCATCATACTAACGTGTGATTGGTTGTCCTTGCTGTTGCTCTACCTTGTAGCCATGGAGACGACAGACCGGTGTTTTCCCTGCGGACAGGAGTCTGCGTTCATCTACCTGTAAGTTTTTTTTCTGCCTGCTTCACGTCAGCTGGATAGATTTTAATATCAGAGCTTTTGTTTACGTGCGTTTGAGTCCGTGGTTAGTGTGTGTGGGAGCAGAGTCAGGTAGCTGCATGTCTGGGACAGAAAATGAGACATGAGACAGACTTCTCCTGAAGTGTTGAAGAAACTCACAAAGAATCACGGATGTGTCTCACTCTAGATTCTCCGGGTCATAACTTCTGAATTACTAATCGAATAAAAATACTTCAAACGGTTTCTAAAAGTACATAAAACGAGCTTTCCAACGGGGTATTACATGATGTAATTCATGTTACTCCAAAAATCGCTATTAGAAGGAAACCAGCTTTGCAGCGTCACAGAAAGAGATGGAGCGAACCGCGACGGGAGAGCAGAGAACCGAAAGGAGGAGATGATCTGATCATCTTCATCAGCAACTTTTATAAAGTTATGGAAACATCACAAATAAAATCCACCTGGTTGGTCAGGTGTCCCAGAAGGCTGTTTCTGTAGATGGTGACATGAGGAGGGACAGATTAAAGTCACACTGGTTTTTATTTGAACACACAACTGTTTACTAAATGATTCAGCTTCATTCCAGCATTATTTATACGTACAATAAAAATTTATTTAGCTGAAAATATCATTTTATCAGTGCAGAATTTTATTAGTTGACTTTTTGTAATGAAATGTTTACATTTAACCTTTTATCTGCTTATTGATCTTCATAATGCTGGTAGAAATGCAGCTACAGCTGTGAAGTAGCCTATGAGTGTTATTTTATGATACCTAGTATTTATCTTACTGTATCCCGTTCTCTGGACCAGAGCATAGACCTGTGGTCACAGACAGGCTGCAGTCATTAAACTGGTTAACATGAGGTCAGGGGTCACA